GAGGACGTATAGTTCCTTGAATGATGCCAAAGACCAAGGCTCAGGATTTCCTCTTGCATTCCAGAAGTTGGTGGAGTCTCCTTCTTTGGACATTTTTAAACATCTGTCAGGAATGCTTTGCTTGTGCCTTCCAGCATGTCACAATGGGGTTGGTCTAGCTGACCTTTGGGGTCCCCTCCCAATCTAGGAGTCTAGGATTTCTCCCTAAGTTGGACCTCAAAGGACTGCAGTGGCATATCCATCTTTGTAGGTTTTTAAACAGAGGCTGGATGGCCATCTGTCAAAGGGAGGGCTTGGATAGTGTCCTCCTGCATGGCAGATCGGGGATGGATTGGATGGCCCATGTGGTCCCTTCCAACTCTAGGATCCTGGGATTTGTAGTTTGGCAAGTCACTGGCACACTTTGTCAGAGTAAGACTTTGTAAAACTGCAAATCCCAGATTCCATAGGATGGCGGTAGAGCACCGAAAGTGGCGTCAAACTGAGTTATTTCGACAGTGTAGATGCACCCAAACTGGCAGATTATGCCTTGTGCATGAAAAGGAGCTCAGCAAAGTGATATGTCTGGACTCTAGCTCCCAGCATCTTGTCGCCCTGAGGGATAAGGGGTGTTATAGTCCACCAAAGTAACTTTCTCAAGCTCTGGCGACAAAGTACCTAATCCCTTCCTTCTGTTCCGAAGGCTTGAGAAAGAGACACCAATGGAGTCTAGCCATACCCTCCACAATTTGTAAAGTAAATAGGCAGAAAAGGTCAGTTTAACTCAAACCAATTGTTCCAGAATTTTATTCAATTCTGCTTTGCTTGGGCCCGTGTTTGCTCTCCGCTGTTTTGCAAACAAAACCCAGGCAGGACTCAGTTATCTCTTGATCTTTAGGTGGATGAGTCCGATGCTATTCTGCAAAAGTACAATAGCGATACACAACATGGGTTGACTAGATCGCAGGCAGATCTCTCCCTGAGCAAAAAATCAAAGCATGGGCCAAAATATGTATAGATATCTACATTATATATTTTGCCAAATGTATAATAAGAGACCTAGGTATTCGCAAGCTGAAAGAATAGGTGGGGAGACACCTTTTCTCAGTCCTCTCTCTTCCTCTTTTTCCCTGACATCCTCTTTTCTTTGCCACTTTCTCTCTCTATTTTTCTCAGACATCCACTTTTCTTTCGCTCTTTCTGACCCCCTTCCTCTTTCTTTTCAACACCCTCATTTCTCTCTTCTTCTGATACCACTTTTCCTTTCTCTCTTTCTGACCCCCTGCTCTCCTTCTATCACCCCTTCCTGTTCTCTTTCTGACATCCTTTCTCTTTTGAGCCAACAGTGTGATGCAGCAGCTGAAACAGCCAATACGATTCTAGGCTGCATCAATAGTGTCTAGATCGAGGGAAGTCAGAGTCCCACTATATTCTGCTTTGGTCAGGCCTCACCTGGAATATTGTGTCCAATTCAAGAAGGATGTGGACAAGTTGGAAGGTGTCCAGAGGAGGGTGATCAAAATGGTGGAAGGCCTGGAAACCATCAAGTCCTATGAGGAGCGTTTTAGGGATCTGGGTATGTTTAACCCAAAGAAGAGAAAGTTAAGGGGTGACATGATAGCCATGTTTAAATATTTGAAAGGATGTCATCTTGAGGATGGAGCAAACTTGTTTTCTGCTACTCCAGAGACTAGGATGTGGAGCAATGGATGCAAACTACAGGAAAAGAGATTCCACCTCAACATTAGGAAGAACTTCCTGATGCAACAGTGGAAGATGCTGCCTTGGAGGGTGGTAAACCTTCTTTGGAGGCTTTCAAACAGAAGCTGGAAGGCCATCTGTTGGGGTGTGTGTGTGTGCTTTGATTGTGTATTCCTGCATGGCAGAAGGAGGTTGGAATGGATGGCCTTTGGGGGTTCTCTCCCAACTCTGTGATTCTATGATTGCAATCTGGGTCTTGCAAACGTATTCTGGGCTGTCTATGTGTGTGTTTCTTTTTCAGGTGGAAAGCCTGGAATCTCGGGAGATGTGGAAAGGTTTTATCCTCACCATGGTGGAGGTGAGTTGCTTCTCTTTTTTAAAATCTCCCATCTCTTTTTAAATGGCCCTGTGACGCCCTTGCACCACTCTGCAGAGAAGAAGATAAAATAAAGGACCAGAAATTGCGGCCTGTCCATCTCATCCCCAAAGAAAACCTGAGCCTGGGATAACTCAGGGCCCTTCCACACAGCCCACTTATGCTGCTATGATTCCACTTGGGCTATCCATTTAACAGAGAGAGCAAAGCAAAGCAGTCAGATATATTTTGAAGAATCTTTGCCATGCTTCTCTAACCTGTGCAATTTTTTTCCCCTTCCGCCAGATGAAAATCCCTCCCAGTTTGACGTTGCTTCCCGGACACATCTATATGTTAGCAGAAGCGCTTGAGAAGGAAAAGCAACGGAGGTCCAAGCTGGAGCAATCCGACCCCCCAAAAGAGAAGGAACTTCCGGAGTGAGTGGATTGCAAGAACCCAATATTTATTGTTGCTTAAAAAAAATCTGGCAAAATAAATTTCGTTGGGGATAAATGTCAGCTACTATCTCTAAGCAGGAAAAGTGAAATGCTCAAATATAGTTGATAGCCGGCTTGAAAGAAATACATTGTGGTCTATGTCTATGCTGCATTGTGCACTGCAAATAAACTTTGGTTCTCCAGATGTTTTGGACTTCGGTTCCCATAATTCTTGACTATCGGCCAAGCTGGTTGGGGCTTCTGGGAGCTGAAGTCCAAAACACCTGGAGGACCAAAGTTTGGGAACCACTTGGTTAGATGCCTGTGACAGGCTACAGCTTTGGGGTTGCCCTTTTCTCCTTCTGCCTTAGATGTTTCTTCAGGGTCTCCAGAACAGAGGCGGAGGTGCTTTTGGAGAAGAATGAAAGCTGCGGCAATATGTTGCTACGTCCGGGAGGAGACGGCAAAAGCATTGCTGTGACCACCCGGCAGAAGGTGAACGGGTGAGTTCAGGAGGACTGGCTCCAGACCAGTTTCCCCAGTGGCTGTTGACTTTGGTGGAAACTGGGCACTCCTGAGAGTAACAAGCAGAAGCCATTGCTCCAGAAGAACGCGTGTGACAACCTCGGTTTCTTCTCTTTTGTAGAACTGCGGCTATTAAACACTACAAGATCAATGTGGATAGCGGGGAATACATCATTGATGTCGAAGAACCGGTAAGAAGGCTACTTGCGCAGGGTTGGAGATTGGGAGGCCATCCTAGTTAGATGGTAGAGCGTACAACATGTTGGTTGGGGATGATGGGACCTGTAGGCTAAATTAGGGGGGTTGCAGATTGCCAGAAATAGTGCAAATTGAGTCCACTTTTAGGGTTAGGGTTAGGGTTAGGGAATCATGAGAACTGTATTTTATTGTGGCACCAGAGCTCTCTGACAGAGAAGGCTCAATGTCTCAGGGAAAAAAAATTCCCATGATTCCCTAGCACTAACCCTAACCCTAAAAGTGGACTCAATTTGCACTATTTCTGGCAGTCTGCAACCCCCCTTAGTTTCAAATGGGCTGGGGAAAATGGGAGTTGTAGCCTCAGTTGCAATCCCAAACATGTTTGGATACACAAGAATTCAAAACCAGATTTTTCAGCACAGAGATCTGTACGTCTGGATGGGTCAGACTGTTTCATTTTCTAACTACCACATTCATTTTTTTTTTAAAAAAAAAGTTCTAAAGAAATTTCCACCACATTTATGAGGAAATGTGTAAATTTGATCTCCATCTGTAGCTATAATCCAGGTGTCTGTTGAATATTAATCTTCAGAATCTTTTGTGGGATATTTTACCTTACGTTGAGGAGAAATCATGAGAAAGCTAAAAGACTTTGGGCTTATGTACACAGCATAATGCAAAAAATTCTGAAGACTGATATTCAGCTGAGCTTATTGTTGAGCTCTTCATCCTTCTCTTTCCGTTTTTGCCCCACAAGTACCGCTGCTCCTCACTTCAGGAGGTGGTGGAGTTTTTTGTCACCAACACCAAGAGAGTCCTTGTGCCGCTGTCCCTGGACGAGAGCTACGCTATGACGTTGGGTAGGTCTCATCTTACATTA